TAAGAGAATGTTGAATGAAGTTTCATAAATTTTTACAGAGTTTTTGCAACGTTTTAACCAACAAAAAAATAACGTCAGACAACGCGTTCAGGGTTTACAGGATACGTAAAACAATAACGTTAATAATACTATTATATAGCAATATAAAATGTAAACATTTATTTTAATTTTTTTAATTTGCGCACAACAAATAGATATAAATAAAATAAATTTTCTAGTAGTCCCCTAATTTTTATTCATTAAATTCCAAGGATTCTTTTCTTACTGAATAAATAAATATTTTTTCTGCAAAAGAGTCACGGGTATAAAATAGCATTCAAGGTTCTTTTATTCTGAAGGAAAAATATTTCAAACGTTGGCGTGCGCGCGTCTCTGTGTGAAGCGAACACGTGAGACGAATTGATGTCGCTTTCAGAGTTCCTGAAAGGATTCCGCGGTTTATCGACGAAGTCACGCGAATTCGAGGCGTGGATTTGTATGTTGAAGTCAGGACGCGAGGAAAATATCGTCGTTGATTTTGCCGAATAGGCCAATAAATCTCTTCACGCTGAATATTATTGCCGCGCGGAGACTGTTGGCCAGTTTGAATACGTTCGACCGTAGTAATTACCGAGACGTATCATGTACGTAAATTCATTAATATTGATTCGTGGAAACACACACTCTCTCTCTCTCTCTCGCTTTGTATGTGATTTGCGATAAGTTTAATAAATAATTTGAAAAATCATATATTCCACACATCAGGACGTGTTGAGTCATCAATCATATTTGTCATCGACCTGTGATAGCACAAAAAAACACATTTTGTTTTATCGCGAACGGAATATCCTCTCGACGAGAGATGAGATCCCGAGTGAAGAATCGGAAGTGACGTATCGTGTAACAGTGTGATTCCGTACGAGAGCTGCTCCGGACGTGCGCTCCATTCGAGTGGAAGTTGAGCAGCGACGATGAATGATGGACCGACGTGACCGGCTGCGACGACGGCGGCCCAGACGACGACGAAGAGTGTACAGAATCGCGCCGTCGCGCGGCCATTATCGCGCGACCTTCTCTCGCACTTTGCCGCGCGTCGCTGGCTATTTATGTGTCTAACAACAGCCGGTGTGTTTCGAGAGCATCCGCAGAAACGAGAGAGAACGGCTCGTGACATTTGAAGAAGCGGGGAGAAACGGGGACTCCTCTTGTCCACCTTCTCGCCTTCCTGCGCTTCGACTCTCGTTCTCCTCTTCTTCTTCTTCTTGTTCGTTCTCGTCTGAGCAACGCAAGAGATAAAGAGACGTCGGGGAAGTTCGACGCGAGGAATGCCCGCGGGATGAAGGCCAAGATATCTCGGAAAGAACTGGACGACCTCTTCGACGAGGTACGCGGTAAGATCGCTCGATAGGAGATGCTGCGGCATCGAACTCGCCACGGACTTCAATTCGGCGCGCGCGCGATCGGCCACTTCCTTCTCGACGCTGCGCGCACGGTTTTTGCGATCGCGCGATTAGTTCTTGCGCGCTCGGCGCGATCGTCGCTCGAAGACACGAGGTCGATTGGCACGCCAACACTTCGTCCGCACGTCAAGCGCGTTAAGTTTTAATCACGCGGGAGAATACGCGTATACTCACTCTCGCGAGCGAAGAACAGCGCCAGCCTGTTCCGAATGTAATAAATGTTTTATCTTTTATATTCGCGCGCGCGAAACGCACAATTGTGTATACTTTTTTTTTTCTCTCGTCGTCGTGTTTTGTAATTAAAATTCCATTTTAATTAAAATTAAAATAACGTATTCCGTACAAATCGTGGAAAGTATAAATAACGGCATTCCGTGGCCATGTAATTTGTGCAAAACGCGCGCGCGCGCGCGCGCATGAGATAATATAAAACGTTGCGACTCACGATTTCCCACATGAGTCTACTTGACAGCGCGCTTCGAATTACAAGCGAAATTCCAAGAACTTCCCGATGTACCCGCAAAACCTCAACTAGAAACGTGTCGTCGCGGTTGTCGGATAACGTTGCACGCCGCAGTGCTCGATGTATGTATGTATGTATGTATACATACATACGTACATGTGTCGAACGTTGTCGCAAAGCTTGCGCGTGCGCGTTTGTTTCCACGCTCGAGCGCAATGCGCGATTCTGAAGGTAAAAAATTTGCGAAACGTTTAATTTGGCGGCACGATGTCGCGCGCAAACGAGAGAGGATGACGTCGCCGACGGCATCGGGGCGCGCGCGTTGCGCCGCAACCTTCCGATAAGAGGAAACAAAAAGCGGGACATCGCGCACGCCGTTGCATTACCGCGATGCAATCAATTTCCGCCGCGTGCTCTCGAGTCGATCGCGCGCGTGTTCGCGCAAGGATTACATGATAGATAACAATCGATCTCTTATCGGGCAATCGCGACAGACCGTGCTGTTTAACAGGATGGAATAAAAAGGACAACCCGCTGATAACCGGAGATTTTTGTTTTTAGCGACGAGTAACGCTCCACCGTGATTGTTGTCACGATTATTATTGCAAATAAAATATGTGCTTCGTATATGTTACGTTATTTCCAAAACTGCCGTGCTCTTTGATCATTTATGCGTGCGATACGTTTGGACAGTAATTACTTTTCTGAATAACGACAATTGAAACATTTTTTTGACTATTACCGTCATGTTTTTTTGTCATTTCAAAGAAAGTACGTCAAAACTGTCTACTTAGAGTACATACCTTTGATTAATAGACTTTAAATTAATGATGAAGATTTCGTCCATGTAAGAAGATACAAACAAAAAACTCTACTAGCGTGAGCCGCTGAAAGGTCCGCAATATAAATTGCCAAATTTTGGCCGCGTCATTGAAAACATACGTATACGCTTCATTACGCGAGCACCGACGTCTCGGAAGACGTTTTCGTTTCGCAACATTACGCTTTTGTCCGCTGTAAATCGTGATATTAAATGAAACGCCATTTAAACCACACCTTTGTTTACGATCGCTCCCCCGCATGCGTTGTTCCGCCGTATCGTATCCGGTAGTCGATCTCCGCACAGATCGGCCGGATTGCCACGTAAATGCCACGGACGTATCTGACGATCTCGATCGTGCTGGATCACTCTTGGCGCAGCGTCATGAAAGACGGAGGCTAAATCACTGCGGTCCGTTAGTCTCGATCGTGGACGTTTATGTGAGCCCGTACGATCGGCGTGGCACGCACACGAGCGCGTCTCCATTCGATCTCTCACACCTCACGTACAACGAGAGATTCTGTTTGATACTTATACCGGGTGACGTGTAAGACTTCTCCGCATAGTTGATCTTCATCGTATCTTGTACAAACACAAACTCCATACGTGCACGTAAAACTAATATTTATTATCTAAATTATTCTAAATTCTTTATATATTAAAAAAATGTATTAAATAAAATAATATGTGTTTACAATAAATGCTTGAGTTTCCATTTTATATGTTAATTCTCCTAATTATAATTTACATTTATCAAAAAAGTATCGCAATGTGACAATCGGTAATTAAAAATGATTACTCGGACATTTTTGCGTAAAAACGCGGAAAAGAAATTTCCATATCACCGTATGTACGTGACTGTACAAACACCGGCTGTGTTTTACCAATCCATTCCGTGAGTGTCACTTTGACCGACACGTTGCGCGCGGCCGCAGATTTAATACCGCGGCGAGAGAGGCTCCCGAAAAATGCATCCTTTAATCGCGGCGTGCAATCTTGCGGGAGATTGCTGTACGGTCCCGCGACGTGAGATATTATTATATACAATGTGGTCGCGCGCGATTGCGAAGGGAACACCGTGGCGGATGTAAATTAGCCTCATTCCTCGCGAAATTAATTCCGAGGCCGCGGCAATCGAGTACGTCGCGATTTGACACGGGTGAAAAATTCCAGATTGATTTCTTGTCGTGTAATATTTGGCATATGCGCTCGCGAATAAGGAGATATCGTACGTGTATCGTTAAAAAAACGCTGCCGCGATCGACAACCGCGCGCGGAACCACCTTCGGAACCGCTCGCCGGATAGATTCCGTTTATACGACCTCTATTACACCCTCCCTCCCCTTTCCCCCAACGCTAATTGCTATTACAGCAAGGCGTTGCATAAGCGTAATTATCGCATTCATGAGCAACGCTCCGTTCTTGGGCGAATTGCGCACGCGCACGCGATCTTTCGACCGTCGTGGGGTCTACGAACTTCTAGCAGGCACCTCCAGCCGTTAGCTTGTCATCATGACAGTTGTTCAAGAATTGTTAATTTCAAGCCTCCATCTGCGGCTCCTGCTATGGTAACCTGATACATTCAGCTTCGACTGATATCATTACTCTCTCTCGGTGAAGATGATGCGAGAACAGGTGGTAGTTAAGCTAACGGTGTTTCAGGTTAACGTTAAAATTTCGCGAACTACGCGGCCTTATTTGTAACAAAGCCAACTTAGGTTGGCTCGGTCGCTATTCTAATTAGAATAGTCGGATCGGCGGAGCGGAGCGATCGATCTCGATACAATTGTCTGGAGGCAAATATCCGAGACTAATCGAACTGTGTCATCGGATGACATGACGTGTGTGCGGGCACGATCCGTACGATCTAGTTCTTCAAGGATGCAAGTGTTCCACCAGGCAGCGCGCAACGATACGCGTATTAATTATCGTGTATAATAACACGTTGTTGTGTTGCAACACGGCGTGTACAATTCGCGAGCGAGCAGATAAAATGAATCGTGTTTCCACTTTGATTTAAGAGAAACACACACCTTAATATAAAAAAAAAAAAAAAAAACATCACGAAAGATCGCGCGGTTATTTTTTCTTGAAAATAGTTAGGTATTTCTTACGTAAAAGAACGTCTTGAAACATTTACACGAAATGAATCGGAATGACGACGTTTGACGTCTCAATCTAAATATGAGATGACTTGCACGTGTTTCTTATTAATTACATATCTCCGTCTGCTCCGATATCTTTAATGAGGAAATTGATTTTTTTTTTTTTATTTCAGGGCGCGCGGTTCCGAGACACCTCGCAACAAATTCATAAACAATGGCAAGCCGATCCGTCAAGGGCATTTCCGACCGTCGGCAGCGTCACCGCGAGTTCGCCCTCCCCTGCGTCGGGAGAGCTCTCCACTCCAAATTCCACCCCCAGCCCCAGCCCTAGTCCGACTAATCAACAAGTCACGGTGAGTGTCTGTTATATTAGTCAAATTATATAACACAAACACACTAGTATATAATTTTATTTCAATATTTAATCCACACAATATCTCTCTTAATTTCTAAAAAACAAAAAAATAATTTATTGCGATTATAACACTTCAATCGTGTGTACATCATACGCTTATGGCAATATTTGCATTGTCTGCGTGTGCGCACAGAGAGAAACGCAAAAGTTTCTAGAAGTTGTAAAAGTTTTAAATTGGACCGGAATCTCTCCCCTTTGTTTTTCGTAAATATCTTTTCCAATTCCGCGCACGCTCATTGTGAGATCACAAGATACTTTGCACACTGCGGCTTGGATCCTGCGGTGTCTCACAATGTCCCACGCAAAGGTAACGAGAAACAATTTCTTCCAACGCGCGAAATGTTGAGCTGCAAGTTGCACGGCGAGATTTAGAACGACGACATTTTCCTCGAAAGGCCAATAAAGTTTTATCTCGCGAAACGCCACGAAAGCTCCGATATATCTTTCCCGCAGTGCGAGCGCGGATGTCACATAAGTGCACTGAGCCGGTCCCTGTGAATCTCTCCGGGATACATCAACCGCCATTCGAGGTTTTGTCGTCCATGTAGGTCAGGGGTGCCGAAGCACTGCTGTGCACTCGCGACATATATAATACATACATGCACGACGCGCGCATATACGCACGAACACGTGCGTCGTTCAAGTATTCAATATCCGAACCGCGCGATTTCGGACAACGACGTGCGGGGCACAACTGTAAAATATTTTTCGTTATTTCTCGGAAATCTGTTTTCATATATTTTATGTTCGCTTGCTAAATTTCCAACAACGTTCTCGCAAAATTTCTATTTATTCTAACAACATTTGCAATTTTCTTTTTCTCTCAGGAAATTTATATTTTATATTTTGTAATCTTACAAATTTGTTCTACACATAGCTTTTTCGTACTCTCAAAATTAATATCTCATATAGATGTAAATTTCGTACTGTGTGCGTTTCATTGTGAACTAGCATAATCGAAAAGACTGCAAAGCTGCTGTATTTTTCGAAAAAACTAGCGGTTGCCGTACGGCTTGGCGTATTGAGCTTTTGCTCTTCTAGCACACGTTGGTCTACGTCACTACAGTTGCGTCACTGCACGAGACACGTGTCGAGGCGCATACTGGCCTGCAAATCAGCATTGTTCTCGCGAGACTATCGGTATGCAAGCCGTATATCCAATTGAACCGGTCGAACAGACGAAGGGGTGGATTTACCCCTCGCGGCATCGGTGCCATTGTACTCAGCGCCGTGTGCTGTTCCGTAGGGTCTGATTCTGGGTCAGCGTGGTTTAATGAGAAACTATCGGGCTTTATATGTATATATATATATATATATATATATATACATATATATACATATGTGTGTGTGTGTGTGTGTGTATATATATACATAGTGTATATATATGCGGCCACCGCGTACTCGTTGTGCAAACCTCGCACACAAATTGAATTCCTTCTGGCGACGCAAATTTGTCTTTTATGGAATTAACTCTCGCCCGTCGCCTCGACGAGAGAATGTTTGACGTGATGTTCGGGAATTAAGGTCGCCTCCCTGCCGCGCGACTGGCAGATGAAGATCTCTTCCTGGTCGCGCGGCTGTTGAGGAAACGGGCCGAGACAGCGAATACGTAATTGCAAAATTAGTGTCGGTGTTTGTTACGGCGAAACGGGATTAGAATTTGTTTTCGCGGCAATGTGATTTCTGTCTTTCTGAGATTTCTGAGGCTTCGTGTTTGCCGTGGATGTTCGTTAAGGAAATTAAACTGAAGAGATCAAAGTGAGAAAAGCGCGCAATTATGATTATGTTGAACAATTTCTCGTTTAAGATGAAAAAATTTGTCGAAATACCGCAATTACAAAAATTATCACATCACAGCTGCTGCTTTACAACGATTTTATAATATCGCGGTGATGTGATAAGCTTGTTTATTCACGTCGTTTTATTCAAAGACGCAACAAACTGCGAAAAAAAATAATGAAAAAGTGCCATTTCCGTTCAAAGTCAAGTTGAAATTCCAGAGATCATGTCTTGCTTTGATTACATTTCGGTATAGATAAAAGTCGCGACTTGTTTGTATCGTTCCACATTTTGTGTCGCAATATCACACGCTAATCTTGTTTTTATGATTTCGCGAGCACTGAAAGGTCACGTATGATATAACCGACTAAATCGATACAGTGACATCAACTATTCGGTCGTGTATTAGTCAGAAACGCGATGAAATCTCTCGTGTTTTATACCGCCGACCTAATTAGGTAATTATAACCGTGGATTACGCATTATCGCGGTCAGCATACTCGAAGCGGATATGATGCATTATGATACATCTCTGGCAAAGTCATCGCGGTCAAAATAAAATCAGGATAAATGGAAAATATTTGCTAGGTTTTCTCGGAAGTGGAACAACAAGAAGATCCGGAAATAAATATAAGAGAAAAAAAATTACATACAAAAAATTAAAAAAAATATTTAATTAAAACAAAAATTGGTTTTCATACTATATTGACGACTTTCGTTTAAATAATTTGAATGATACAATTTATATGTTCTAAAATTCAATACAATTCTATTTAATTAATCAATAACAATTTTTAATTCAATTGTGTGTGTGTGTGTGTGCGCGAGTTATTTGTCTGTTAAAAAAAAAGATGTGCAACGCGCAATTGAATTTAATATAAATTAAATTATCGAGAGCGCGGCTCAACGATGCTTGCGATTGACATTTGACATCGTTAACACACTTCGAGCACATCGATTAAAGACCGACATCGATATTGACATCCTCTTCGGGAAATTCCTCGTTTACGTAATAGGAGCCGCAGACAAAAAAAAAAAAGAACTGTTGTTCCGATGCTTATTTTAACGGATGACTGAGCAGGGCAACACTTCGGCAATCTTCTACCGATAACGAACGGGCTTACGGTGCCGTATATCTCATAATATGTAATTACTTTAATAATAGTAATTTTTGTTAAAATCTGGGCCAAAATGGAAAGCGACATATAACCAATTTCAGATTCAGAAAAAAATGCAAAGACAAGTCGATGCCGATGAATATAGTTGGTATTAGACGATGACGACGGCTGTACGTGATACGGCGACATTTTTTCACGAAACTGAGCTACGACCGCAGCCGCTGTCGATTATTGCTAATTGATGTCGCCATGTTATTACGTCATGCGGATACGTGGTTTTTTACGCGCTGACGAATCGGCAACGTTGCTCATTAAATCGAAGTGTAGTCCGGTTTATTGTACAAACCTTCGTTAGCACCGCACTTCGTTACGCGCTCACAGAGTTCTCTACATTTATTAAAACTTCTTTATTTTATTTGCAGCGCAAGTCGAGTCGTTAAAGTCGTGAATTATGGCTGGTTCGTTCTTTCGCAAATGTAACTGCATCCTCGCGCAGTTATCCTAAGCCCGGCGACGACTCGTCGCGGTACTAACTAACGTGCTACACCCGCGTAGAGAAAACGGGCGAGCGCGCATTATCTCTACTATAAATAGTAGTACCGTATACCATGCGCGTAATTTACCAGACGTCATAATCGCGGCCGCGCGTACCGATTACACCGCGAGTGACTGATAGTGCGGACACGAGCGAAAGTCGCTCCCTTCGCTGAAAGACTAGAACGACCACCAGACCCCTAGACCAGATTACCCGCGATATGCACAAGATAAGTCACTAACCCGCTCGTAAACAAACCGCCTTAGGTGAGGTTCGTATGGTCGGTCGTAGGGCTTCCACAACGACGACGACGACGACGACGACGACTACGACGACGACGACGACTACGACGACGACGACGACGTCGTCGATGGCGCCGTGTACACCGTAACGTGATTAATCCGCAATGCTTTTTACTAGCGCGGAAAATACTCGACGGCGAGTTAATTAGCCACGGAGTCCCGCGGTGAATGCGGATCGAGAAATGACGAGTATATAATACGCCTTTCGATAATTAACGTCTCAATCGACGGATCTCATCGCAATTACACTAGCGCCGAATAAGTCGCGACACATTTCCGTGTAGCGGCGATGTAACTCCGCGATAACTGCAACGAGCGCTCGTGCTGCGCTCGTAAAAGTCACCGGCTTGCCGGAATAATGGGGCGACGTTTTAACGCGACCGACCGGCTCGCTCGCGACGGTCGGTCGCGTCGATTTTTACCACCGGATATTTAAAATATCGTCGTATTTTGTGATTTATGTCTTCCAACGCTGTCGGAAGTTATTCGGCGTCGCAAATGTTATAACGATATAATAAAAATTCTCTCACGAGCGCGAAAATTTGTAATTTGAAACACACGTACATACGCGAGATTGAATTTTAACCGTTTCACATGTCGGATTATTTTCAATACCGTCCATTATAGATTCAAGTGTTTACGCATGTAAACGCGCATATTGAATTTGTGCTTTATATTCTCTATCTCTCTCTTTATTACATATTATAATTGAATATAAACAACGTGTCAAGGATTAAAACAGCGACGGATTATTTTAACGCGATCGATATATAGTTCGTGCACTTCAACGATGCGAATATTAAATGCCCTGACGATTAATCTCGTCTCTTGCGTAGCTCGACGCTAATTTTCCATCCGCTTTAACTAAAGTTCCATTAAGGTCACTCCCGCCCTTCGTTCTCGCTCCTTACGGCACGTACTCGCCAAAAAGGGTTTAAGGTTAAGAGGGTCGAGCGCATAAAAAAAAAAAAGAAGAAAGTGCAGCGAATCCTTGAGAATCCTGCAGCTGCCAGTCATCATTGGCGCAAGAAATGTTGTACGCGTGTTTCACGTCCGATCGTTTGGACGAAAGGTCGGGAAATAGGATCGTAGGTTGTTAGACCATTGACAGGATACAACGCGGTAATGACGCAGCTGGATACGCATTTGCTTGTTACCGTGCGCGTTTTTTCTCGAGTTTTTTGCCAATTTGTTAATTTTTGCA